ACCCCGAACATGAAATACCTTCACGGAGAGCGTCGAGGCGCAAGCTGTCATCCAAAGAACAGGAGGGCTTAGCTAGCGCCTCACTGCAATCTTTAAAGGTCGTTTTCTCAAAATGAGTTTTTTCTCCTACTCTGAGTTCAAAATTTCAACTTCAGTAGCACGTAGACACACCAAACCTTCCAGTTATATTCCTATCAATATTATGAAGGCTTTTACAGAAGGGTTTGTTCATATATCATTCATAGCCTGAATTATACAACATTGTATACCTAAAAACATGGCAAAAATTGATATTTTAGGGCTGTTGACAGTATTTTCTGATTGGAGTGATAAAAAGAGATATACAATATCCCTTCTGTAAAAGCCTTAGATACTAATATGACTACAAAATGAAACAAGAATTTTGAACCTGGCTTAATCCAAAATTCAGATTTCGATTCCTGAAATGTGTTAAAATATGCACATATTTGATGACATAATGGCTAATTTGCATATTTAAACATGCTATTTCAGAAAACTTGTAATAAAAAAGACAATTGCCTGATTGTAAGTAATTAACTGGAGAAATTTCTAGCTGATACCTTTAAGTTAAAAAAATTACCCTATTCACCTGGGGTGTCTCGCCTTAAATTAGTCGCAAGCAATACATGATGCGCAGGGTTACCGCATAGGTGCGTCGCATATTTTTAAAACAAAAATATTAAAGGCAAATCCAGAGAAAACGTATAATTTCAACTTTCAGAATATTTAAAAATAATAATTTAATAATATTTAATACATATTTTAGATTTAAAAAATAGCAATCTTCAAAGCATAAAACAGTTTGGGGAATAAAAGACATCACGATCATTTAAACAATTGAATTCCCCACTCCACTGTGAGAAAACACGGTTTTATGGGAGTCAACAAAGGATGACACTAAACATATTGAAACAACACTCTCTGACACATTAAAATGATTTTGAAATAGTGTGAGAAACTTGTGTAAGTTTCCATCTTGTTAACTTTTCTGTTTACCGAATCCAGAACGGTAATTTGAAAATCCTAACCGGAAGCAGCATGCTACCGTGTTGTCCCGCTTGATCCCGGTAGATGCCGCTTCACCCCCTCCATTCATTTCATTCGCACAAAGTCGCATCCCAGCAGCGCCCTCCCCTCCTGTTTCTCTCCGCCTGGAAAGATGGCTGCTCCGGTGCTGCTGAGAAGCTCCGGCCCGCCGCTCTGCCCGAGCTTCGCGGAGGTCTGTTCGTTCCTGGAGCGGTACGGAGCAGTGCTGGACCTGCCCGAGATGACTTTCCCGCAGATGGAGAGATATCTGCGTGACACAACGACAGGTGAGAGATCGGTGGTGGGGCGAAGTAGTGGTAGAAAGCTGCGACACTTGAAACCGAACGAGAAGGGGTCCACCACCATCACCACCGTGATGAGGAGGATGTGGAAAATGTAGATAGTGCCCCCCCGGCAGGGCACCATTAGATCAGCGAGCAGCTACACTCTGTGGCACCTTTTGGCCCGTGTCAGACTCAGTTTTCCTCGAAAGAGAACCAGTTTTCGTCCAAGTTTCTGAGTAAATATTTGAGAAAACGCAGACTGCTAACACACAGCTAACCCAATCCACATCCCAAACACTCAGGGCTATGTTGTGCTACAGTCAGGGATACAGGCGGGAGTAAAACAGTTTTGCTAGCTATCCCCGTGGGTAAAAGTCAAGTGACAGATCGTCGATAATGTTGTGTATTGATCAGTGAACGCTGGACGGTGTGGGAGCCATGATGCAGCACTGCCTAGTGACCACACACAGACACAGCTAGCTGCGGAGGGTTGTCAGGTGTTATTTCCCCCCCGGCCTTGCCCCCACAGGCAGTCGGACTGGACGTCATTATTGTGCTGGTATTCTCTTGGATCTGTCTTTTAGACGGCTGCCAGAACTGAGCCACAGCTGAACACAGGGGATGTTATTTTTGAGGCATTGGTAGAGAGGCTGTCAAGTGTGCGCATGCGCAATGGTGACTGGCTACTGGCTAACTAGTTAGCATCGATGAGTTCGTCAACTTTTAGCCAAAGTACAACACCAAGCCCTTCAGTTAACTGAGGACGTGTTTAAGGATAAGACGGAGATGCCTGAGGCGTGTAGTTGTTATGTTTGTGTCTTTACAAACCGTGTTAGCCCTCACAGCGGGACCGTTTTCAGTTACCGTTAGTTATGTTGCTTAATGTAAGCCTTCACTTTCCATAACGTTAGAGCATAAAGTCAGACATAGTTGCTAACATTCTTTAGTGAGCTACAATAATCACATTACATTCTAGACTCTGGTCTGATTAACTGCGTTTTCTCCCGACACTGAATTGTTGTCTTTTTTTTAGCCTAGAAAACGTGCGCTACAGAGAGAACTGGAATTTCCTGTAAATTCATGGTATCCTAACAGCCTCACACAGACCACACAGTCAGGTTGTTGATGCAATGCTCCGAGGCTGTGATTTTAGTTATTGACCTGGTAATAAATGCCAGTTGTTTTCAGTATCATGACAACAATAAACAGGACATGCATAATGACACAACTATTTCTTTCATCTTGAAAAAACTATATTGCAGAATAGCTAAAATAAATAATGAAGACAAATTAATGGAGTCTTCTTAAATGAAATGTCACTAAGTACAATCCCCAAATCTCCTGCAGAGTAGAGAGTACTTTAAAGCGATGAGGTTCATGTTAATGTCAGGCTTTTTCTTTAGGAATTTCATCTTATCAATAAATCATTCCCCTGCCAAAATTTAAAATAAATCATTTGAATTGGCATTATTTAAAGAGTTATTAGAAAGGGAAGGAATTATAACCTTTTTTCGGAAGTGGGACAAATGACCCTGATGGGTTGATTTTATTGATACCTGGACAATTATCATTTTATAAAACAATTACAAACTATTTGCATTTATTTTAACAAAACAGTGTACATGGCAGAGTGATAAATGTTTACCTCGAAATTAAACATTTAGCTGTGAGATCTGTGCACAGTAAACCTTTGTTGACCCAGCATCACACTCATGAGCCACCAGCTATATAAATGATACTTATAAAGCACAAAAAGTAAATAAAGACAGTGTCAGTACAGAGAACACATGGGCAAAAGTGTCTGTTTGTAATGCTTATCTCAAAGCTTTTATAAAGCACTGAAAACTGGCTGATAAGCGCTCAAAGATTACAGTACGACATAAGGGCTTTGAGTCTGTAAAAACACCGCTGTCATGATAGGAATCATACAGAGTGTAAATTCCTTTTTATCCATTCATCGCTGGATTACTGTTTTCCAAAAACTGCTGAAAGAAATAAAATTAAAAAAAGCCCCATGTTACACACGGTGGCGTGCGTTGCCGCTTCTACGCTTCTGCCCATTCACTTTGAATGGGGTGACGTCACGATTCACCGAACTGCATTGTGGGAGCAAAGCGTAGCTTCTCTCGCGGTGCTCGCTGCAAAAGTAGAGCAATGTTCTACTTTTGCCTTCTCGACGGAGGCGTCCGCCAATCGAATCATATGCCAGTGCAAGCTCTAGCCAATCAAACGGCGTGCTTGTGTGTCTGGGGCGGGAGACTCATGTGATTGGTTGTTGGTCGAGTTTCAGCCCCCCCCGCCGGCAAGCGGCAACGCACGCCGCCGTGTGTAGGCTCCGTTACGGCCCGTCCAAACAGCGGCGTGCGCTGACGCTTGGCGGTGGGCATATCGGAAGCTTGGGGATTTTTTGCGAGCAACGTGACCAACAACCAATCACATGAATCTCCCGCCCCCGACATACAAAGCAATAGCAATGTTAAAATGAAGTACACTGGATATAAAATCCCCAAACAGGCGAAAACCTACCAGTTTCACCCACTGTCTCTGCCACGTCCCTCCATGCCTGGCTCCTCCGGTTTGTATCCCGGTAGACGAACAGGGACTGATCATACAGCACCGGGTGATTCACTACCGCTATAATGAATTTTCCCTCCATTTTTTGGAATATGAGGAAATGACCTGCGTAGTCTCTCCCAGCACGCGGTTTGATTGGCTAGCGCTTATACTGGCAGATTTGAATAAACGGGATTTCATTGGCTGAAGCTTCTGCGAGGCGCCAAAAGTTGAACATTGCTCAACTTTTGACGCGAGCAACGCGTAGCTACGCTCCCCACAGTGCAGTTCGGCGAAGCGTGACGTCACCCCATTCAAAGTGAATGGGCAGAAGCGTTGAAGCTTCAACGCACGCCGCTGTGTGGACGGGCCTTTACAAATCGGATTTTCATCATAAGAAGTATTTAGAATCCGGAACCAAGTTAAAGATGAAATAAGTTGTCTTTTGTTATGAACTTGGTTGTTTTACATACCTCATAAAAGAAATGCACAGTATTATGTTTCTAATCATCCTGTGTGTTTTCCAGTTCCTAAACCCCTGGTGGAGCTCCACGTGAAGCTGCTCAGAAAACTGGGGAGGTCTGTGACGACTGACCGCTGGGAGAAATACCTGGCTAAGGTGTGTGTGTGTGTGTGTGTGTGTGTGTGTGTGTGTGTGTGTGTGTGTGTGTGTGTGTGTGTGTGTG